ACTTATGGGAGCAATGAGCATGTTTAGAATGGATTATTAGGCGCCTTTCTCGGTGAGCAGTGCTGGGTGAATGGATTATTAGGCGCCTTTTTCGGTGAGCAGTGCTGGGTGAATGGATTATTAGGCGCCTTTCTCGGTGAGCAGTGCTGGGTAAATGGATTATTAGGCGCCTTTTTCGGTGAGCAGTGCTGGATGAATGAATTATTAGGCGCCTTTTTCGGTGAGCAGTGCTGGGTGAATGGATTATTAGGCGCCTTTTTCGGTGAGCAGTGCTGGGTGAATGGATTATTAGGCGCCTTTCTCAGTGAGCAGTGCTGGGTGAATGGATTATTATGCAGCCCTTTCTCGTAAAGCAGTGCTGGGTGAATGGATTATTATGCAGCCCTTTCTCGATAAGCAGTNTGCTGGGTGAATGGATTATTATGCAGCCCTTTCTCGATAAGCAGTGCTGGGTGAATGGATTATTAGGCGGCCCTTTCTCGTAAAGCAGTGCTGGGTGAATGGATTATTAGGTGCTGCGTGAATGGCTCGATAGTGTCCTGTTGCCAATGCGGTCCAAAGTCATTTCCTGATGACTTGATTCTTCTGAGAGTGACAACTTTGAATGAAATAGACAGATACAGCACATAATAAACTTGAAATAAATACATCTACAACAAATATTGTAGAATTTGAAGTTTTTTACGGTAGTTTGTTGAATAAGTATAGGATGATTTAAACACTAACTGTTCACCCCCCACCCCCCCATCCTGAGCAGGATAAATGGTTGGAAGTTTGGTGCCTTTTGTCCCATTTAAAAAATCCAGGTGATGAAGTCTTGTTTATTCTGCTTAAAGACACAGCACACATTTCTTTTTGACATCTTTCCTGTCTGTTTTTATCTATCCATCTTCCAGTCGCTTATGCAGTACTGTGCCAGAGATATGATGCTGCAAGTCATTATATAAATACATAAATATTCCATAAATGATTCTTCAGTGACACAGCTTCATTGGTGATGTCAGTGTCCTACATGTATGTACCTTCTCCTGCGTGATCTCCGGTGCAGCAAACGTCAGCGAGTGCATCACTCGCGGGTCTGTTTGTCATCCTGAAGTACCCTCTGGCCGCTTTTAATGCAGCGAGCTTTTCCCATTTCGTGATTTGGGACTTTGGATTGCACTTAGTCTCGAGGGTTATTTTCCAGCATCCTGCAATTCTGTGAGACTTTTTAAATCTCAGGATGTTTTTCAGAATATTATATATAAAATGAACACGTGAAAATCCTTTCGTTTTCGAATTTATTAATTCATCTTGTGCTACGAAGAAAATATTCTATCAATTTTCAGCTCTACAGACCTGCATAGATCCTCAACCGAGAAATTGCAGTATGACCCAAATTAATTTAAAGTTTTTCTGCTTATTAAAATTCTTCTGTCTGAAATTACTAGCATTACTGAAAGAAGAGCTACTTTTTCAGACTATTTTGTCCCCACCACAGTATTATATGCCAGACACCAGCTAAGCCAGTAATTTTGTTATGATTTCCTTCACATTCTTTTCTCCACCATTTCATTAATAGCAGACGAAGGTGATAAGAACATTCTAGATCGGTGCGTGACTGACCTACTGAGATAAATCACTTGAGATCCGTAGCACCGTAATCCAGTTTCCACAGGACATCGATGAAGGAAGGTGTCACCTGTGGGTGGGAAATCAGATTAAAATCAAAAAGGGAAGGGAAAGGATTTTGAGGAATAGAAAATGACATTGTGCTGAAATAAAATCCTGGGTGAAGATATTCAATTTAATAATGTCAAGTGCTATTTTAATAGCAGCTAATGCCAGAGCAGCCCATAATATGAAAGATATTATCATAAGCAAAGCAACAGTATGATATCCGGTAAAATACCATATAATGTCTTTATTTTGGTGTGTGGATTCAAGTGTGTATATGTAGAATATATGTGTATTTAGAAATATATGAATATTAAATACATAATATTCCTTATCTGAAATATTTTTAATACACTCATGTGTTTTTCAAAAATTAAAATGCTCAAATTCCCTGCATTGAATGTTAAACTTTTGATACAAATTAGACTTGCTATCTCTGTGGTTGACTATCCTTTTAAAACCTATTATTGTTCAGATTATCAATTCAATTATTCATCAGTAATTCAATATATTATTTGGGGAACTTACACATCAGGTGGAATTCCAGAACATTTCAGTTCATTTTCAGCAGCCGCAACGCCTCAAACCAGGTAATCCATCTGAAGCTAGCTAGTTTGGGCCTGGCCAGTACTTAGATGGGAGACCAACTAGGAAAGCTGGGCTGCTGCTGGGAGTGGTGTTGGTGTGGCCAGCAGGGAAGCCCATCTTGTGGTCTGTGTGGACCCCAGTGCTCCAGTGCAATCACAGAGAAGCCCATCCTGTGGTCTGTGTGGACCCCAGTGCTCCAGTGCAATAACAGGGAAGCCCATCCTGTGGTCTGTGTGGATCATAGTGCCCTAGTGCAGTGACAGAGAAGCCCATCCTGTGGTCTGTGTGGATCCCAATGCCCCAGTGCAGTGACAGGGAAGCCCATCCAGTGGTCTGTGTGGATCCCAATGCCCCAGTTCAGTGACAGGGAAGCCCATCCAGTGGTCTGTGTGGATTCCAATGCCCCAGTTCAGTGACAGGGAAGCCCATCCAGTGGTCTGTTTGGATCCCGATCCTCCAGTGACGGGGACACTGTGGCTAACAGGTTAGACCATCTTATGGTCTGTGTGGATCCCAAAGCCCGAGTGCACTGATGGGGATACTGTACTGTAAAAATGGCACTGTCCTTCAGATGAGACGTAAAACCAAAGTCCCTGGGCATCTTTTGAAAGAGTAGGGCTGGTATCCTGATGTCCTGGCTAACATTACCCACTGCAGCCCTATCAAATATGGGCTCTAACCATCCCCTATATTTATCTCTCCTGCCCCTTCACCACCTTAGCTACTGTGTGGTGAGCGTACCGGTGCACAATGGCTGCCATCGCATGGTCCCGGTGGGTGTTACACAGCGGTGATGGTTGAAGTGCTTCCCCATCAGTTCTGTAAAGCCTGTTGGGTGTTTTGAAAAGCACTATATAAATGTACCGTGTCGACCCAAATATAAGACATTTTTTTCCCTCAAAATACATCTGAAAAACTGGTGTCGTCTTATATTCGGGGTCTAGACAAAAAACGAAATAGATAACGCCAAATACAGTATTTTGTAACGAGTGTTTTGACTTACCATAATATAGATTTGCCTTGCGTAAGTCAAAAAGCGTGTGAGTCAAAAAGCGTTTCACGCCCGATGCGTGACAGCTGGGAACCCGGGCAGTGCGTGTGTATAGCGTGTATCCCTGAGACCCGGGCAGTGCG